GGTGTAGGAGTACAGCTTGGTGCGAAGTACTCGGGAAGGCGGAGTAACAAGAGGAGCTTGCGAAAAACCTTGGAGGAGTGTAGCTTTGTGCGAAGCACTCGGAGAAGTGTCGGTGGACACTTATTCACTATTGTATCTGGGTGATCGAAGAATAGTGAATTCCTCCTTGAAGTGAAAGGAGAAGAGTGGACTAGGAGGATTACACCACCTCTGAACCACTATAAATCTCTCTCTCTCTGTTTACTTACTGCTCATACATTTCATGCATGCCTATTCTAACTGCGAACTAACCCGATTACGATTTATCGCATATCTTTATCTGTCTGGGTTTGATAGTTCCCACGTTTGCATGCAAGCCAAACTTTACATACATCATCTTTGAACCATATCAAGTGTTTCTAACGTGTTGCATGTTTAGAATATCTCTTTGAGCACCGCACTTATAAGCATAACACTTTACCGCTACCTATTCCGCTGCACACTCTAAGTTGCTTATCTTGTTAATGCTTGTTACTTAGAGTTGAAATTACCAAAGTGTTATTTGCCTTGTGTGTTTTCGAAGAAAGTTTGAAAAGTTAGAGAAGTCTATTCACCCCCCCTCTAGACTTCTCGCCACCCTTTCGGGACCAACACAAAGCAAATAACTTATTATGGAGTCCAAATTACAGCTTCAAGCTAATGTGAAATTCTTGGCAAAGGAAACAATCACGATGTACATTTTGAGGGGGAGTTCTTCTTAATCTCTTATGAACAAATTCAATTTGTGTATTTCTTGGGTATTTTCGGTTATATTGAACTTCTTGGGTATATATGGATTTTCTTACTGGACTCTATCAGTTTTTGGATTATCTCGTTGGGTTATCGTTTTATTTGGCTTATCATAATCTCTAGGGTCTCATTTTATAATCATCACCTTATTTGGATTCTTCTTGGATTATCTACTTGATAAGATTATTTCTGAAGAATATTTTGGATGGGATTGCTTATAAGGCTTTATTTGCGGTACAATTTCTGAGAGTATTGGATTCTTCTTGGATTGTCTTCTTGGTGTATGATATCTGATATCTGATACTGATGATGCTGATAACGGCTCAGTTTCGGGCACCCCGTCTGCACGGTAAATCTAATCCACTATTATGATGTTCACCTTCCTTTGTCATTTATTTGGCAAAAAGGGGGAGTTTTGGAGTAAGGGGGAGTATTACGGAGTATTATGGTAACTTTTGGAGATTTTGGAATCTTTTGGATTATTATGGTATCTTTTGGACGTATTGGATCAGTATGGAATTTTTGATAAGGACTATGATGAAATATTTGGTAGTTTGGCAGTGGTTACATTTGTTTGGTTGTTTTTTGGATTTCATTATGGAAATAATAGAACTATATGTGTTAGGGGGAGTAGTAGTTTTGTTTGGTGCATCTAAACAAGTTGAATGGATGTTTCGGGTTATGCTACTCTCACATGAACAAGTTATTATATGATGTGGTATGCTAGGAATTCAATGCTTCTGTGTGTGATCCAAGACTTGAAGAATTCCAATCAGGTACTTTATTCACAAATGGTCCAAAAAGAACTTAAGTTGTTATGTTTGGTTTTATATCTTTGTGTCTTGTTCAGTACCTATACTAAGGGCTCTTAATAAAAACTAAATTGATTATACTTTCAATTTTGCCCAAAGTATTTGATACTTGAGTTTTACCAAATAAAATGCCAAAGGGAGAGATTGTAAGTGCAAAATTATTGTATGTTAAACCTTATTGGCTATTTTATTTAGTAGTGGTGTTATTAGTTTTTAATTAAGATGATTAATTAGATTTGTTAGAATTAATTTTCATTTGGACCATGTGGTGCTAAAATGAGTGGATGATATGCATTGTCAAATGAAAAGAAGAGTCATCACAGCGCACAAATGAAGGCTTCTAACAAAAACATGTGACCTGGAATAAATAAAGGTGTGAGATGCTGTCTTTAAGGATCATGGTAATTCATACATACTACTATAAAAGGAAGCTGTTCGAAAGATGAAGATTGCCAAGCTGATTATTACAAATTGCGAGACTTATCCTGATTACTAAGCTATTCAATTTTTAATGTGATTTATTATTTAATTCTTAAGAGTTTTTAATCTGTACTACATGATCAGTTCGTGGTACTGCTGAAGCAACTTGTGGAAATTGTTCGGGTATTGGTGTGTCAGTCCTGGATAGGTGTTAGAAAGAGTGGTAGTGGTAAAGGCTGGAGGCCGTCTTCATTTACCTCTTGTAATACTCCTTTTGGTGAACATCTATAGTGGATTGGGCAGACGTGGGTTGCCCCGCAGACGTAGGAGAAGGAGCTCCGAACTGCGTAACAATTTCTTTGTGTTTTTAATTTACTTTATGCTTTCTGCAGTTATTATTTATGCTTGCTTAAACAAGTCTAATTGATTAATGAAACTGGTGCATAACTTAATTAACGAGTAAAAACACATTGTTTTTATTTTTCAAGTGTCACGGTGCAATTTCAGTAGTAATATATATGAGCTAGTTAGGTCTTATCATTTTAACTATATATGTTTAAACTCGATTTAATTGTACTAATTAATATCATTGCTTTTGCAATCACCTGCTGCTATTACTGTTGAAAATAAGTTTCCGATTGCTTTCACTCCTTTGGTTGAGGCTTTAGTTAGCAGCAGCAGCATATTAATTGATAGTTCTCAAAGCAATATGCTGCAACTAGAAAAGGGCAAAGAATAACATAGGCTTTTTGCTCAATCAGGAAATTCCTCACCCGACTAGTAAAGCTCGTCATCATTACCACTTTGTATCAGAGCTAAATGAATTATATTTTTATATCCAAGATCTCGAAACCTAAGTGATAAACCTCAAAATATGCTAGTTTTTAGGAGCTTATTAGGAGTGTTTGGCACTATTTTTAATTCCTAAACAATATGTTTTAAGACAAATTTACCTTGAAAGCATAGCTTGACACAAGAACACCACACTAATTAAACTTTCTATGATTTCTAGGCATTTTTAACAGAAAACCAGCAAGAACGGACCAGAAAGAGCAAGGCGAGGAAAAGAGCGCATCAAAGGAAGCACTCACGCACGTGAAGGAAGAGACAAATGGGAATTATTTCCCGATTCACGCGAGCCTCACGGCGTGAGGGTGGTGTGAGAACTGAAGCGCGGAGAAGAAGCATTATTTCCCATTCACGCAAAGGCTCATGGCGTGAGAGCTAGTGTAATTCGGAACCAAGGCTCCGAAGAAAAGCAGACGCGGGAAGAGTTTATTTCCCATTCACGCCAGCGTCACGGCGTGACGCCAAGCGTGAATGGGAATTCGAAGTATATAGCTAGCAACGGACAAATTGGAAATGGGGTGCAATTCATTTTCTAAAATTCCAAATTCAGTTTAGGGAGAGAAAAACACTTCTAGATTATTAGGGTTTTAAATCTTTTGAAGATTTGTGGAGTTTTTCTACATCAAGGTTGCAAATCGGATTCGATTGAGTAGATCTTTGTGGTAACAATTCTTTACTCTTTTGATTATTGATATTTTGAGCTTAGATTTGTGGATTTTTACAAATTGATTTACTCTATTGGATTTGTTAGATCTTTGATGCATAACTACGTAGTTGTGAGGTTGGGCGTGTGATTCGTCGTTATGTGTTAGGATTTATAATTCCTAGGGATCTAGGATTCGGAAATTGCTTATTTGCTCTTGTTATGTTTGGTTTTGTATTGCTTCTTATCTTTTGATGGCCACAAGAGGTGAGAGGGTTTGAGAGAGGATAGTCGACGAGAGATCGTGGCTATCCAGAGTCTTTGCCGACCATTTTTCCCGCCCTTCGATCCGAGAGGGGGAGGTCCGGGAAGGACCGTAGGTTAGGTGTTTGACAAAATTCATAGGCCAAGTAATTGTTGCCTAGAGGTGTAGGCGTGTTGCCTCGACTCGGCGTAGGTCCTCTTGAGTTGAGTAATTCCATTTCCTTGAACCCCTTCATCGTACACTAGCACATATTAGTGTTGAGCACACCACCCGACCTCCTCTTTATCCTTTGATAAACCCACAGATTACCGTTGCAATTGCTTACATTTTTACTATCATTTCTTCATATTTCCAAACTCATTTAGTATAAGTCTATTGTTTAGAATCTTGTTAAACAACCTGTAAACCTCCACGAACTCCAAGTTGTCATCCTCAAGTGAACGACACTTGGGGTGGTTCTAACTCCCCGATCAATCAAATCATATCATCCCATTCCTATCCATACAACTACACACTTTTGACTACGCTTAATCAAGAACCACAAACGTAAAGCAAAGCGGGCTTGTCAAAATGGTGTCATTGTCGGGGATAGCAAACGGTGTTGACTGAAGTGTTTTGCGAGTTGATTTGAGAGAAACCTTTGCGAGAGATTTAAGTTTGTTTTATTTTGTTTTTTTTTTTCTTTCCTTTCTGAAATTTCTTTTTCCTAATTTTGCTTGTGTTTTTTGTTTTGTGAAGTGCTGTATTCTTTTTCATAAGTTCTTTTAGTTGTGTTTAGAAAAGAAGAAAAAAATATGTACTCTCACAGACTACCATACCGCGGGTATGGTGAACCTTATAAGAACCTTGCTCCACACGAGCACTACCCTCCAATTCTTCAATCCTACCCTACCCTTTCTCATAACTACCCCCACCTGAATATCAGCTAGAAAGAGTTCAGGCCACATATGCTTTTGTACCATCATATTATCCTTCCGAAAACTAATTTCCCCCACCCCCATCCTGGGAATACGGAAATTGTCCAGATGCTTACGCAAATGAGTACGACCACTTGTACGAACAGTGCTATGCTCTCCAAACCCCTTCTACATTCCATGAAGAATATGATCGCTTTGAAAGGAGAATGAACGAGCTTATGTTAGAATCTAAACACAACGCGGTTGCACTTAAGGCATAAATTAAACAGGAATTGAAAGAAGAGTTAGCAGTGTACCGTGAAGAGACCTTGCAACCACTTAGGAAAATGGAAGAAACATTGGCTTGGTTAATTGAAGAAGTGAATGAGAGAAATAAGAGGGAAGTCCAAGCAATCACCTTGAGGAGCGGGAAAGCACTTCAAAAAGAAAGTAATACTAGTACCCCCTCAAGGGATGATATTCCTTGCACCTCGAAAAATGTAAACCCTCCTAACGAAGAAGAGCACCCAGAACCAAAGGACGATAAGGGAGAGGATGAGCCTATATTGGTACCAACTACCCAATCTCCAATTACCTAACCTTCTCGAAAAGGTAAAGAGATTGCAACTAAAACACCCATTCCCCAAAACCCAAGGGTTCCATTTCCTCAAAGGTATCGAAGTGAGATTGATAACGCCAAATACAGGAAGTTTCTTCAAATGTTGCGGCAGTTGAACATTGATATGCCATTCGTGGATGCTCTGGGAGAAATGCCTCGCTCCGCTAAATTCCTAAAAGAGTTGTTATCAAATAAGAAACGCCTAGATGAAACTGCCACCATAGTCTTGGGAGAAGAATGCTCAGCTCTGCTGCATAAGGAAATGCCGCGGAAGCTTAAAGATCCGCGCAGCTTTACAATACCATGCAATATTGGTGATTCTAAGTTTAGCAAAGCCTTAGCAGATCTAGGAGCAAGTATCAACTTGATGCCTTATGGACTCTACAATAAATTGAAGCTGGGAGCAATGAAACCTACACGGATTTTCATTCAACTAGCAGACGGATCAACTAAGTACCCAAGAGGAGTTGTTGAGGACATGCTAGTGCGAGTTGACAAGTTTATATTTCAGGTAGATTTTGTCATTTTGGACATGGACTCCGACGTCAAGGTACCGCTGATTCTAGGAAGTCCGTCTCTCGCTACTGCGAGGGCCTTAATTGACATGGGCAGTGGAAAATTGGTAATCCGTGTAGGGGAGGATTCGGCAAACAGATGATACACTGAAAATTTGGGTGGCATAAACGTGAGTAAAAATAGTGAGTTGAAACCGTTACCCGATCATCTTGAGTATGCTTACTTGGACACCAAAAATACTAAACATGGTGTAATTGCATCAGAGCTAAATTAGTAATTTTTTAAATAATTATGTTATTTACTATAAAAGGTCATCAATACCACAATTCTCTTTTAGACAAAAAAAAATGAATATATAAACTTATTATCAAGATTACAGGAAAGAGAAAGATAAAGTTATTGTAAATAAAAAAATATCACCATAATAATTGCTAGACAATCGATACAATATAAAAGAAAAAAAAACATAGATGTTATTGTCCTTTTTCATTTTGTTCTTAGGAATCAAACTTTAGTATTTTTTGAAAAGTAAGTCTTAAATGGTACTTCTCATCTACTAGATTAATGTCTTGAAAACACTATTGATCATTTTTTTTGTGACAAAAAGTCTAAATTTACTTAATGATAATTTTATGTATGGCAATAAATTTTTTTATATATATATTTACTAATTACTTATAAATGAATCAATAATTTGCATGCTATATGTTTATTTGTGGAGAGTTTTAGAAACTTTATAACTGTTTTTTTTTTTTTTTGGCCCTATTGTGATGGTTCAATCAAAGATCCCTGATGTAGCAATGGGGAGCTAGTATACGGGTATTTTGTCATCCTTAATGATTTGCACGTTATGCCATTGAATATGCAAATTGTCCTTTTACTTCACATTTGTTTTGGTTTGCGTATATAATAAAGAACATTCAAACTATTATTGCTTTTTAGCTCTTTAATGAGTGTTGTAACCATCACCTTAGCTTCACAAACTATTGATGTAGGAAATGAGGTGGTGTGTTTCCGGGTAAAAATGTCATTCCGCAAGGATGGAGGCTATGTCACGTTCTTGCGTGATAACTAAACACAGAAGCAGACCCAAAAAATATATTTGATCGAGTTCGTAATTACTTTCTAAACCAACTGACCAGTGATTAAACTCATGACATCCCATGAGTCACTTCATGCTAGTGGATTACAAGATCATTTACAAATATTTTTTTAATTTTAATTTTTTTTAGCTAACTAGATCATCTTTAAGTTTTTCTAAATTAATTTAAATAGGATGACGTATAACATAAACTTGTATACTATATTAATTAAATCATTCATAAAAATAGATTACTTAAACGCCTTTGTCGGGAGCAACCCAGCCTCAAAGTTCATTGCTCCACGGAGACGGTGATGAAAGAAGTTTCCTTAAACGTCCATTCTTGGATGTAACTGCAAAGCTCTTGTCGTCGAGAGTTACCGAGTTAACGGCGTTGTTGGTGCCGGGGTTGGGGCCCGGAGGAGGAACCAATCTACTAGCTTCAAGAGGTTTGATGGTGAGCAGAAGTACGGAAACAAAAGCTAAAACAGTACTAGGTTGACGTGTCATTGTCTCTTCGATTGATCTTGTCTCATGGTTTTTAGGCTAGAACAAAAATAAAGAATTTTAGGATGATAGATGAGAGATTAGTGACGATGAATAAAGCTACAAAGATCAAGGAGGCGCTTATATATGTATAGCTGAGTGGTTGACCGTTTGAACTTTGAACTTGAACGGGTCATCATCTCACAAACTCGTTATGGTAGAAGAGTTGCGGTACGTCGATAGAAAACAATAAAACTGAAAAAAAAAAGTGTTGAATCACTCAAAATTGAATATGGCTGGGTCCACACAATTTGCCCAAAATAGCATTGTCCAAGTTATTACCCCATTAATTATCTTACTTATTACCCAATTATTATTATTATCCATAACCCCTCACCACCAATTACACTACCTATTAATTATCTATTAATTAAGAAATAGTATAATGAGGTTCGTTAATTGAAAAAAAAAAAAAGTTTTATAAAGCTTTTTTGTTGTTTTTTTTTTTTTTTTTGAAAACTTTAATAAAGCTCTCTAAATATGTAAACCAGTGCAATTAAGGTCTATTATTACTTAGTTAGTAGTTTATTGCTGGTGTGACCCTAATAAGTAAGTTAACATGTAGGCTCTGTTTGGCAACGCTAAGCTAGGAGCTTATAGCTTATTTTAAGCTACTAATAAGCTATAAGCTTTGTTTGGTAATGTTCTCAAAATAAGCTCCTAGCTTAAAATAAGAGCTTATTTTGGAACGCTACTTTAGGTAGCGTTTCAAAATAAGCTACTAGCTTCCTAACTTATTTTCCATCTTTACCCTTATTATTTTAAAGTAATGACATATTTTAACCTTATGAATTAAAACCCTTTCTCTTCCCCTATCCCAACTTTCACGTCAATCCCTTCCTTAGTCTTGTTTCTTGCTAAACAATTATGTTGAAATTAAACTTTAGCTTATTATTATTATTATTATTATTATTATTATTATTATTATTATTATTATTATTATTATTAATGTTATTTTAAAATTAGCAATATGGCTTCAATCTCAAATTGAACAAGAGCCGCCAACTAATGCTCAAGAAGCATTCAATTGTGCACATTCTTCTCTTCGAAGTTGTATTGAGAGGTCATTTGGAGTATTGAATAAGAGATGGAAATGCTTGCTAAAATGCCGCAGTTTAGTGAGGAGACCCAAATTGATGTTATTATGGCCACATTTGCACTACATAATTATATTCGGAAGAATTCACAAGATGACATGATGTTTAATGTGCTTGAGCAGCATCCAAATTACATACCGCCCAATGAACTTCAAGATTCAAGTAGTAATATTTTCATCAACGAAAATTTAAGCCGCACCTCTATGGAGGTGAAGGAGATTCGCAACAATATTGCTACTTCATTATGGGATGCTATATCATGATCATGCTAATAGTTTTATTTTAAAAAGTGTTTACTTTTTTTGGAAGATGAAATGTTAAATTTTAATATGTAAACAAACTAATTTAAATTTTATGAAGATGTCCTTTTTAGTCTTTTTACATTTATCAGCTTATCAAAAAGCTAATTTTACCAAACACTTTCAATCATAACAGCTAGCTTAACAGCTCTTCAATTTTCAGCTCCGAGCTTATAGCTTTTCAGCTTTCAGCTCCTTTTCAGCTATCAGCTCCTAGCTTATAGCTTTTCAGCTAGGTTTGCCAAACAGAGCCGTAGTACTTTATGTTTATATACGTGGATCCTATATATATAATTATTTTTTTATTTTAAAATTTTTATTTTGATTTTTTAAAAAAAAAAATTAGAGTACAACCACTGACCATCATGTTGATGGCCTATGACTATTTTCGTTGACGGATAGCCAGTTCGTAATGGTCGCCTTTGTTCCTCTGAGATGAAGACAACCACAACGGCCACCTTCATTAGATTTGTACATCAATCATGTTACGTGGTCCAAATCTGGACAACTATGGTTGTTTAGTCCGTTAACAAATAGTTACACCGGTTGTTCATTAGTGAAAATAGACGACAGTCAATGGCTGTTTTTAAAAATAATTTTTTTTAAAAAAAAATAAAAATATAAAGAAAAAAGTGTCAAATTGACCACCTAAGTCAACTGGATAGTATAAGTAGACCTCCTAAGTAAAAAAAGAAAAACAGTTTCAATCAAACCCCTTAAATCCAGAAAACCATTCAATTGAGTTCAAATCAACATGTTTAGCCAGTTAGTACTTTTCAGGTTTTGACACGTGTCTTTCTCTTTAAACAAAAAAAAGCATTTTATTTTTTTATTTGATTTTTTTAAAAATACAGTCACTGCGCGTGGAAGACAACTGGCAGCTCTCCGGCTATTTCCTTCACGGATAGCCATGGGTATTCCGGCGAGCACAATCGGAAAAGAATCGCTGTTGGGTGAAAATCGAAGCCCAAACGTTCCTCACGGTCACACCAATTGCTAAATTTATTAAAGATTTAATTTGGTAGCCTTTAAGACACTGCAACATAGACGACTAGCGAACCAACGACGTTGAAATTACACCAAATGCAGCTCATCGCCATGGAGATTTTCATATCCTGGTCGCAAACAATCATTATTCTCTTTGTATTACACCACAGAATGGCAATAGGGATTGAGGTAAACACCAACACAACAATCATTTTCTTCTGCAACATAAGACCCAGAAGCTTAAAACTTTTAAAAAACATAAAAAGGTTTTTTTTAACAATTTTTTTAAAAAACACGTGCCAAAACCTGAGAAGTACTAACCGGCTAAACAGGTTGAGTTGGACTCAATTGAATGATTTTATTGGTTTAGGTGGTTTGATTGGAGTTTTTTTTTTTTTTTTTTTTTTTTTTTTTTTTTTTTTTTTTACTTAGGGGCCTAATTACATTATTCGGTTGACTTAGAAGGTGAATTTGACATTTTTTTCCAAATAAAAATAATTTTGTTTTAAAAAAATTAATAAATGTTAAAATAAAAAGTAAAATAATAATACACATACATAGAATCCATATAAGCATAACATGCCATGTGTTAACCTAATTAGCGTAACATCAATACTAACCTATTAAATAAGTAATAATAACGCCTAATTGCATTATATTGCCAGTTTAGGATACTTCATTTGACGTTTTTATTTTATTTTATTGTTAAATTAAGAGGTTCAATTGTACCCGGACTATGTGGTCTAATGGTACCCGGGTTGGACTTTCATTTGGAAGATTATAAGTTCGAGGCTCAGTGGAGGTGTATTGGTTCTTTGTGTTTCAGTAGGTTGAGAAAGTATATGAACAGATACTACAAGTACTACAATGTGATAGAGCCAGTAACTTTCAAAAAAAAAACAAAATTTATATTTTAATGTCATGCATGGTCTCTTTTTTTGAATGCTACTGGTTCTATTACAATGTAGTATCTGTTTATATACTCTCTTAACCTAGTGAAACACAAAGACCCAATAACGCATCATCTGAGGCTCAAACTCACAACCTTTCCAAATGGAAGTCCAACCCCAAGTACTATTAAACCACATAGTCTTGGTAAGTTTATTCTTATCTAATTTTACAGAAATTGTCT